ATCACTGTATTTATTCTTAACATAGTTGTCATAATTTCAATACGAAGGTTTAGAAAACAGCAGGCCATATTTCGTCTTCGTGAAAGGCAAAAGGTGCGCATGCCTGCAAATACACTATGTATTGCGGAAGCTCGTATTACTTCAATGTTAATCGTTGTTTCAACAATGTTCCTAGTGACCAACCTCCCTAGTCACGCCATACGGGTGTACATTATGTTATACAGCCTCTTGGACAAAACTACAGAACACTCCAATGTAGAACAAGCTCAGCACGTTTGTAACATATTGTACTTCTCCAATTTTTCCATAAATTTTCTCTTGTACAGTGCATCAAGTAAGATCTTTCGAAAATATCTTTGTATCAAATCAAGCTCTGGAATGTGGAACTGTAGAAATAGTTGTTCAGAGGAAAGAAACAAATATTTTGTCTATAATTCGCCTAGAAATGAGAGACATAAACTTGCATTTATTAAAAAGCACATAACTCATTAATTACGTTGAATTGTGATGGGAATTCAAGTATAATTCTCGTTTTCTACGTGAATGCATTGCAAAATATTTTCAGTACTCCTGAGTTTAACAAATACGATGTGATCTATTTCAGACTCCAGAAGTGGACATTTGCTATTTTGATAACATTGCCTATTAAGATTCTAGACAGTACAATGTTGCTACATTGTAACATTGCTTTTTAGTTCAGATTCTAGACAGAACACTGTTGCTACATTGTAACATTGCCTCCTAGTTCCGATTCTAGAGTGTATAATGTTGCTACATTGTAACTTTGCCTTTGCCTTTTTAGTTCCGATTCTAGACAGTATAATGTTGCTACATTGTAACATTGCCTTTTTAGTTCCGATTCTAGACAGTATACTGTTGCCACATTGTAACATTGCCTTTTTAGTTCAGATTCTAGACAGTATACTGTTGCTACATTGTAACATTGACTTTAAGTTCAGATTCTAGACAGTATACTGTTGCTACACTGTAACATTGCCTTTAAGTTCCGATTCTAGACAGTATACTGTTGCTATATTGTAACATTGACTTTAAGTTCAGATTCTAGACAGTATAATGTTGCTACATTGTAACATTGACTTTAAGTTCAGATTCTAGACAGTATACTGTTGCTACATTGTAACACTGCCTTTTTAGTTCCGATTCTATACAGTATACTGTTGTTACATTGTAACATTACCTTTAGCTCCGATTCTAGACAATACACTGTTGCTACATTGTAACATTGCCTTTAGCTCCGATTCTAGATAGTACACTGTTGCTACATTGTTCTAGACATTATACTGTTGCTACATTGTAGCATTGCCTTTAAGTTCAGATTATAGACAGTATACTGTTGCTACATTGTAACATTGTGACATAGTTCAAACTCCAGACTATAAACATATGCTATATTGTGCCATTATGGCTTTAACAGTGGAGTGTGGTTCTATTGTGAATGTGTGACTTATTTTAGACTTTTAGACAGTGGAAATTTGTTATCGTGTGGCGTTGTGACCTAATTCAAACTCAGACAGTGGAAATTTGCTATCTTGTGACGTTGTGACCTAATTCAAACTCAGACAGGGGAGATCTGCTGTATTGTGGCATTATGACTTAGCTCGGATTGGAGAGAGTGGACAGTTGTTATGTTATGACTTTGTGACTTAATTTAGATGCTAGACAGCAGACAATTGTTACAGTGTGACACTGTGATTGGCCCCAAGACAGAGAACTATTGCTATATTGTAACATTGTTGCCTAGCGCAGGCTAGAGACAGAAGTCAGCCAATATATTGTGACATTGTGACCTAGTTCACACTCTAACAGTGAACAGTGACAATATTGTGACACTTTCTCTGAGTTCAGATTCTAGATAGTAGACATTTTTATACTATGACATTGTGACCTTGCTCAGACTTTGGATAGTAGTTATACATTGACATTGTGACTTAGTTTAGACTCTAGACAATAGATAGTTGCACAAAGATTAACTGATGAATTTATTTAAATGTCAAAGTGCCCTAATCGTGTCACCAAAGTAAAAGAGAGAGAGAGAGACAGACAGACAGACAGAGACAGAGAGAGCAACTGATAATGGTGCAAGTTCAGAACGGTATCCCAATGTTTCGATCTAACGGAGATCATCAACTCGGGGAAAACGAGTTACATTTACAAACACTTAATACAAAATCTACGAAACATTATGCAATGCTAAATGCTGAAATTGCGAGAGACAATTTACAATAAGAGACATAATAATGCAGAATTGTCCAAAACTAATACATGAATGGGTTCTTCTCTCTATCAGACATAGAACCAGTATTTGTTTTTAGCTAATTCTGTGTTGTGAACAAATCTGGAAACACAGTTTGACCAGGAATCAAAAGCATCTACAAGAGTTGCCAAATAAATTAATTCGTGGTAAAGTTATGTAATTGTGTGTCGTGATAATGGAAACAACATCAATAATAATAATAATAATAATAATAATAATAATAATAATAATAATAATAATAATAATAATAATAATAATAATAATAATAATAATAATAATAATAATAATAATAATAATAATAATAATAATAATAATAATAATAATAATAATAAAAATACGCATACAAATGTGTGATCATTTTGGGTAAATATTAGATATAAATTCGCGTCGGGTGCAAAACTGATGACTGGCTGCAATATCGAAAAGACAGCAATGGAAGGTTGGATTTTTTTCATTTAAGCTGATATCTCCTTGACATTTCATCATTTTTTCAAGTGTAGTATCCATTATATATATATATATATATATATATATATATATATATATATATATATATATATATATATATATATATATATATATATATATATATATATATGGGGGTGTCCATTAAGGGATAGCACCTCTGGTCGTGGGAAGCAGTCGTACTCCTTTTGGAGTAGCTTGCCCACTTTTGGTCCCCACTTGGCACTCAACTCTCACCTGTGGCTCCAAGAAACTGTGACATGCGCAGCGGTCACACTCCAGAAACGGCCTGGACAGGCTGGCTAAATCAGATTGAAGGTAGCCAATGGGTCTCATATCTTCGGTTAGTTAGGCTTTGTCTACCTAGCATGTGAAGACTGGATTCGGCAGCCTGCGCGGAGGAACCACCAGCTGGTTAATAGGCAGAAAGGCGACTCCCAGCAAAGCGCATTGGAGCGCTAAGACCACGACGAGACACTTATGACGTCCTGGTCATCCACTGCACTCAACTCCGTATCCGAACTTCTTAATTTTGTCATGCTTCTAGTCTCAGATGGATTTGGGCAAGAGAGTGAGATCTACGAACTGCGCAACTCTTCCTCACTTAAAACAAATTCACCGTGCAAGTCACTCTTATCATTCACTCATTCCATTTCATCAACCACCAAAGTCCTGTGACGACAGGCTAGCGACAAAGCGGTAGGTGTGGGTACAGTCAGCCGTATCAGCGAACCTGCACACAGGCGGCTCAGGCCATTAGGGTTGCTCACCACTGACACTAAGCAGCAGTGGAGTCCGGCAGGCCCTTGCGCGACTGAGCAGCCCTCATCAGGAATGCACTGCTCACCTCCTTGGCATGATGAAGGGGCTAGAAAAGGTGCCCTAAACATTGCCTGCTCGAACCCCCCCCCTCCTAGCCAGCTTACCGTGGTTGGCAGGGGCTCTACTTCAGCGATCGAAATAAAAATAAAAAGAAGAGGAGGATTGTTATTCTCACACTTGGCGCATGGAATGTACGCACCCTAATGGACCGAGATGACACTGAAAGACCCCAGAGGTGAACCGCACTAATAGCAAAGGAACGTGCCAGATACAACGTGGACATTGCTGCCTTGAGCGAGATCCGGCTTGTAGGAGAAGCTGATCTATGTGAATGGAGCTCAGTATACACTTTCTTTTGGAGCGGACTAGGAAGTGAAGAGGCCGTGAGTCTGGTATCGGCTTTGCAGTAAAGACAACACTAATTGGCAAATTGGCTGGACCTCCAAGGGAGTAAACGATACACTTAAGACCATGAAAGTCCCACTCTTGTCTGGAAGAAAACACCTTATCGTTATCAGTTCTATCCGGATCTACACTCCCTTATTTTTAATGTTCCTTTGCCAGATACGCTCGTCATTCTTGGCGACTTCAATGCAAGAGTTGGCTGTGATTACGTTTCCTGTGATGGGGTGCTAGGGAAACACGGGAGTTGGTCACTGCTCCAGACATGTGCCGAGCATAAACTGCTGATCACCAACACAGTCTTCCGCCTCCCTACCCGTAACCGAACGTCATGGATGCACCCTCTCTTTAAGCACTGACATCTCATCGACTACGTCATTGACAGGAAGAGGGACAGGCAGGATGTGCGTGTGACGAAGTCCTTGTGTGGCGCTGACTGCTGGACAGACCATCGCGTCATCATCATCAAGCTCAACATCCGCATTCAGCCTAAAAGACGCCCACAGGGAAATAAGGTTCCTAAAACACTGAACATCGCCAACTGAAACACTCTAGTACCAAACTTTGGCTCGTAGATGCCCTGAAAGAATGTCTGATATCCACCCCTCAGGCCATTCAGAATGATGAGACCGAATGGGCGGCATTAGGACAGCTGGTTTACACCACAGCTTCGGAAATCCTAGGACCCTCAAATAGAAAGCACCAAGACTGGTTTGATGAGAACTGCGCCGAGATCAAGCAGTTGCTGAATGAGAACCTCGGCCTCTAACAAATCTACCTTAACAACCCCAATTCCACTTCCAGTAAACATGCGTTCATCAACATACGCATAATTAAACAACTTTTTAGATATATCGCTACCGTATCGGCATCGTCGCTGTTTATAGTGGTGTCTAATACTGGGCATCATGCCGCAGACATGTAGCATGATGTCCCACCGAGCCACATTATCCTGACACCAGACCGATCAGTCCTAACATTAACCTCTTAATGCTGAGCGCCAAGCAAAGCAGCTGTTAGTACCACTTTTTTGTCTTTAGTATAATTCGGCCGGGTTTCGAACTCGCTGCCTCCCGCATCCAAGGCGACCACTCTAACCACTAAGCCACAGGAGCGATCCAAAGAAATATATGTATATTAATGATATATTCATTATATATTAATTAAGAAATATGTGTATATTTCATGGTATGTTCATTATGAATTAATGAAGAAATATGTGTATATTTCATGGTATGTTCATTATGAATTAATGAAGAAATATGTTTATATGTCATGGTATGTTCATTATAAATTAATGAAGAAATATGTGTATATTTATTTCTGTATTCATTATAGACTTATGAAGAAATATGTTTATTTTTATTTCTGTATTCATTATAGACTTATAAAGAAATATGTGCATATTTATTTCTGTATTCATTATAGACTTATCAAAAAATATGTGTATGTTTAATTCTATAATCATTATGAACTAATGAAGAAATATGCGTATATTTAATTCGATATGCATTATGAAGTAGTGCAGAAAATATACATATTTCATTTTGAATTTATTATGAACAAATTAAGAAATATGTGAAAATTTAAGTTATTGAATAAATAGGTGTATATTACATATTATGTTCATTGTCAATTAATGAAGAAATATGTGTATATTTAATTCTATATTCATTATGAATTAACGAAGAAATATTTGTATATTTGGCGAAATTTTCTTTTTATATTAATTTCATCTGGATGTTTAACTTATTTTTTTTTCGCCTTTTTAAGTTAAATTCGACTAATGTGATGTCTGCTCTTGAAGAGTCTTTCCTTTTATTCTGTGTTGAAAAGTCTTTTCTTTCATTCTATGTAAAATCCTGACACTTACTCTAGTAAGTTGATAAGTTTATGGCGCACGTACGAATAATATACTCATGACGAATACATTTTATTGACTACTCGTTCTTTTATGTATTAGTGTTTACCATCATCTTGTAGTTCAAACCAGTAAATTGTGTAAAGAAAATGAAGTTTTGTGTACTTTATCATGACTTGATCATGCTGTAGGACTGCAATGTGTAAAGAAAATGAAGTCTTGTGAACTTTATCATGACTTGATCATGCCGTAGGACTGCAATGTTCTAATCTCTTTAACTGTCCCAATATCTGATTACCATAGCTCTAAGGATATTGTAATTTTCTACATGTCACTCTCCACGACATCTATATATATCTGTTTATCATCTCTTCTTTAGGCGCTAGTATTTTTATCTGCTTTTGCCCTACTGATTTTATGGCTAGAATAGCCATACACTAAATGTGTAATATCTGTTTCAGTATGTTTTGAACTTCAGGCTTTCCTCCAGCAACAGGGAGGGTGAACATACTATTTTGCTTGAGACCTTATTTATGAAATATAAAGCTTCCTACAGAAATGAAAATATAAGGTCAATAACGTTAAACCAAGGCATCTAACCCTGTCTCTGTCAGGTCATGAAATTTCTCTATTTGGGTTAGTCATTCTGTTACTTTATCGATAATATTTGTATTTTCAATTTTTTGTTTGCGTGTCTGTTTTTACGTGCTGGTCTCTCACTGTTGGTCGTCCACCCTCCATGCTGCTGTAATTAACCAAATATTTCATCAAGTCCATTACGATATCGCGACCTACGATCATGTAAATTTATTGTTATAAATCCAAAAGGGGTAGCTTGCGCGTGTGCAAATACATTTTTTAATTTGATCACATCCATAATACCATAACACCAAGTATAATAAATCTTTTGTATAATATGATTATCATCTCCGTTAAATACAGCCAAAATTTTGCAATTGTCTCTGACCACTTTTAGGTGTTTGCCAATAGCGCTGGGTAACATAAATCACGTCAGTATTTTTGTGTCTGCCTCTGGAAAATATCCGAGCAGGATTTGCATATTTGTATAGCATGACATCATCGTATGCTACCATATTATTAATACGTCCATCCAGCTCATCCACTGATGTCGCTTCATCGATATCGCTGGTAAAATCAATAACGCTTATTCCGTCACTGTCACGTTCTTCATATAAGGACGCGCTGAGTTTTCAATAAAATCTTCAAGTACTTCATAGCATCAACGATCATCTACAGATCGTGCTACTAAATATAACTTATCCCACTTGAGCCGTTTTATTATCAGATTAAGCAATAATTTTGTCCTACCACTTCCAGATGGCTCAATTATTAGCATCCTGATTGAATTCTGTAGCGCTTGTTGATGTTTGATTGGCTCCTGTTTCCATGTCACTGTGAAGTCGATCCATAAAAATAAATAATATGAATCGATCTTGTGTTCAATGTAAGGGACCCAATGTGTTCAATGTAAGGGACCCATCCGCAGCGTTGGTGGGACCAGTGGATTAACAACAATATTAACAAAAATATAAAAAACGCGCTCTGACATGTATGTGTGAAAATTATGGTACAAACAAATACAGATTTATCTCGCTTAACAAGTCTACAAAAACGGGGGATGATATCGCTACTTCGTTGGGAAAATTACCATGGGTTCCAAGGGCGAAGTATCCCGGGGAGAAAACATTTACCTGGATATAAAAATCGTGGTCCTGGAACTCGACTTGATACTCCTCCTGATGAAACAGATCAACCAAGATTGGAGGAATACCCAATAAACGCAACTGATCAAGCGTGTCACGTTCATAATGTTGCGTATAAAAGTAAGGATATACATCAATGACATATTGCTAATGTGAAATTGAATCATGAATTAAATTCTATAAAAGATAAATCTCTCAATGAACAACTCGCTATTCGTCTGGTGAAATCTGCAATGAAAGACAAACTAATGCTAGTGGCTGGTAGTTAATTATATGACTATTTTAATGGGATCTGTTTATTATTGCACAAGAGGATATTGGAGAAGTAAAGCAGCGATTAGTAAAATCGCCAAAGCAGGAAAACTCACATGTTGTTGCTGCAGCGTGGTAAGCACGGCAGGCAATATGGCAAATATATCTATGTCCATTTAAAAAAAAATCATCATTCACATGTTGATGTCAGAGCTCCCAATGAAAATCATCAAGCAGATATTTTGTTATACTATATTATACCATTAAAACACGTAGACGTCAATCACGCAAATACAAATACGTGTTGACTGTAGTTGACGTTGCAAGAAAATATAAAGCGGCTGAGCCGCTATCAACTAAAACAGCATCTGAAGTTTCATTTGCGATTGACCTAATTTATAAAAACGTAAACCCTAGCGATGGCTACAGCTACTACAGGTTGATCCCTGCAAAGATTGGCTTGATGATGAGGACACGCAGCAATTCTTCGTGATCAAGCAATGGCTGAACGATTTTATCGAGCGGTTATCTGGATATCGGTATGCAAAAGAAATTATCATAAATAAAAGATCTCGTGAATGGGTTGCAAGATTACCAAGTGTGGTAACTGCATTAAAAAAATGAAATTACTCACGTACTGCCATGAAACCTACAAATGCAATTATACAAACTCATATACCAATACAACAAAATGAGTCCTGCTCGAAACAACCAATATTAGGTAATTCGACTAAGATATTCAAATGAACCTGGTAAACTTGCACCGGATAAAAAAGAGCAACTGATCCTGTTTTGAGTGTGATTACACATACAATTTCTAAAGTGGCTAGACATACTGCTAGACCTGCAATCTACCGACTGGATTCAAATGGTTCTCAATGTGGATTTGTACATGAACAATTACAAGTAATTCCCGAAGACACACAATTACCACTCCGTTCACATTTATAAAGTGGCACCTCTAGATCGATTACATTCAAAACGAGTCAGCTTGACATTTTCGCGTGTGACCAAGACTACTATTGATTCTGTTTACGGTGAACTGTCTTGGATTATTATTTGTATACTGCCACACCATATTACAGATACAACTTGCACAATGATTATTCTGTCGTTGTTTTAGTGTTATAATAAATTCACTGTCGATATCAAAGTTGCTATTATTTTTTATCACATTGTTTATAACCAGATAGTATTTTTTATTACGCCATTGGTATCAGTTTGTTTATTATTTTCTGTAAAATTCATAATAACCATGTACAGGTGAGATATTCTTCTGACTCGAGACACTGCAAGTTAAACTAAATTTGACCATTCGATTGTATCATGGATAGTCAAAATATTTGTCTCAGTAATAGTCCCAGTGATGTGTGAACGGAGTTTTATTTACACTGAATGCGCTCTCAACAGCGATAAATATAATACCATTTAATGCAAGATTTTTCCATTTATTACGGGAATATCAAAGTCCAAATTCTGTCGTCGAGTATCTTCTGGGCGATAACACAACGGTATTGGTAGATTTGAAAATGTTTCTTTATCTAACAAAATTAATTTCTCTTGCAATTCATCATGAACTATCTTTCTCCTTGCATGTATTAAATCATTTGGTCTCCATAAATTCCAAAAATTATTTACATGTGTTTCCTGAATTATTTCACGCATGATATACTTTTTTATCTAGCTGTAGATTCTTTTAGATTCTTTCAGGGTATCACCAACGCTCTATGATAGTTGGTTGTCTCATAATAATCTACAAAAAATTTTAACCATTCACACGGAGACTGTTGGAAAACATTTTTTTTAAAATATATAATAATTCAGAAATATATTTAAAATATTTCTTCAGAAATATACTAATTCAGAAATATATTTATTCAGAAATTTATTCTTTCATAAATGTATATTTATATCAATTAAAAAACGTGGTTTTAGAAATATTTTAATTCATAAATATATTAATTCAGAAATATATATTTATCTTAACTCAGAAATTTATTTGTATATCTTTATGTTATATGATACTTATTCTGAAGTATATTTTGGTGTTTATAAATATTTATTCAGAAATATATTAAATAATAAATATACTAACTGATCAATATCTTTTTAAATTTATTCAGAAAAAATATTTTTATTTATATTTTTATTACCATACATGTATATGTTTTAGAAATCAGAAATATATTTTTATATTTATAAATATTCATTCCGAAATATATTAATTCATAAATATATAATTTCAAAAACATAGCTGTATATTTATAAATATTCATTCAGAAAT